ATATCTGATATGAGATTTCCAGGAGAATTTGTCATCAACTATGACACCTAGAAATTTTATTTCATGTACTCGTTCTATATTAGCTCCCCCAATTTTCAATTGAAGTTCATTATCTAGTCTACGATTCCCAAATACCATAAATTTAGTTTTATCCAAATTCAGAGATACTATATTACTGTCACACTATTTCTTTATCTTCTCAAGTTCCTGTGTAACCCGTCCAGAGAGTTGCTGTAGGTTTTCACCCGATGCCCATATGGTAGTTTCATCAGCAAACAAAACCACTTTCACTAAATCAGAAACCTTGCATATATCATTAATGTATAATATAAATAATTTAGGTCCCAAAACAGAACCCTGAAGAACTCCACATACAATGTCCAGCTCACTCAATTGGTATTCACCCAACTTCACAAATTGACGCCTCTGTGTCAAATAACTTCTGATCCAATTCAAAACCATTCCTCTGATCCCATATTTTTCTAACTTATCCATTAATAACTCATGATTGATTGTGTCAAATGCTTTTTTTAGGTCAACAAATATTCCCACCGTGTATTTCTTCTCATCCATAGCACTTGTAATGTCCTCCATCAGGTCGGTAATGGCCAAAGATGTCGATCGGTTCGACCTAAAACCATATTGGCAATCCGAGAGGATTTTATGTTTGTCAATAAATGTGTCTAATCTGATGCAAAATGACCACAAGGATGCAAAAAAACAAATGTACTGTACTCACAAAAAAAGACACAAAATCCTCCTTTGATCTGTGGGCATTGCTCTTATGTAGTAGGGTGGGGGGGCCCATGTCTGTGCTCAAGGGCCCAGTGTCTCATAATCTGTCCCTTGACTGTATATACAGTGCCTTGCGAAAGTATTCGGCCCCCTTGAACTTTGCGACCTTTTGCCACATTTCAGGCTTCAAACATAAAGATATAAAACTGTAATTTTTTGTGAAGAATCAACAACAAGTGGGACACAATCATGAAGTGGAACGAAATTTATTGGATATTTCAAACTTTTTTAACAAATAAAAAACTGAAACATTGGGCATGCAAAATTATTCAGCCCCCTTAAGTTAATACTTTGTAGCGCCACCTTTTGCTGCGATTACAGCTGTAAGTCGCTTGGGGTATGTCTCTATCAGTTTTGCACATCGAGAGACTGAAATTTTTGCCCATTCCTCCTTGCAAAACAGCTCGAGCTCAGTGAGATTGGATGGAGAGCGTTTGTGAACAGCAGTTTTCAGTTCTTTCCACAGATTCTCAATTGGATTCAGGTCTGGACTTTGACTTGGCCATTCTAACACCTGGATATGTTTAGTTTTGAACCATTCCATTGTAGATTTTGCTTTATGTTTTGGATCATTGTCTTGTTGGAAGACAAATCTCCATCCCAGTCTCAGGTCTTTTGCAGACTCCATCAGGTTTCCATCCAGAATGGTCCTGTATTTGGCTCCATCCATCTTCCCATCAATTTTAACCACCTTCCCTGTCCCTGCTGAAGAAAAGCAGCCCCAAACCATGATGCTGCCACCACCATGTCTGACAGTGGGGATGGTGTGTTCAGGGTGATGAGCTGTGTTGCTTTTACGCCAAACATAACATTTTGCATTGTTGCCAAAAAGTTCGATTTTGGTTTCATCTGACCAGAGCACCTTCTTCCACATGTTTGGTGTGTCTCCCAGGTGGCTTGTGGCAAACTTTAAACAACACTTTTTATGGATATCTTTAAGAAATGGCTTTCTTCTTGCCACTCTTCCATAAAGGCCAGATTTGTGCAGTATACGACTGATTGTTGTCCTATGGACAGAGTCTCCCACCTCAGCTGTAGATCTCTGCAGTTCATCCAGAGTGATCATGGGCCTCTTGGCTGCATCTCTGATCAGTCTTCTCCTTGTATGAGCTGAAAGTTTAGAGGGACGGCCAGGTCTTGGTAGATTTGCAGTGGTCTGATACTCCTTCCATTTCAATATTATCGCTTGCACAGTGCTCCTTGGGATGTTTAAAGCTTGGGAAATCTTTTTGTATCCAAATCCGGCTTTAAACTTCTCCACAACAGTATCTCGGACCTGCCTGGTGTGTTCCTTGTTCTTCATGATGCTCTCTGCGCTTTAAACAGACCTCTGAGACTATCACAGTGCAGGTGCATTTATACGGAGACTTGATTACACACAGGTGGATTCTATTTATCATCATTAGTCATTTAGGTCAACATTGGATCATTCAGAGATCCTCACTGAACTTCTGGAGAGAGTTTGCTGCACTGAAAGTAAAGGGGCTGAATAATTTTGCACGCCCAATTATTCAGTTTTTTATTTGTTAAAAAAGTTTGAAATATCCAATAAATTTCGTTCCACTTCATGATTGTGTCCCACTTGTTGTTGATTCTTCACAAAAAATTACAGTTTTATATCTTTATGTTTGAAGCCTGAAATGTGGCAAAAGGTCGCAAAGTTCAAGGGGGCCGAATACTTTCGCAAGGCACTGTATGCAAACCATGTTGTTGTTTTTTGTATTTTGCAAAGTTCTCAAAACAAAATAGTTTTCTTCCATTTAACATTTCAAAAGAAGCTTTAAAGGATAAGGTCGGTCATTTTTTATATTAACAGCATTTTCAGCAATCCCCATACAAAAACTAAAACCAAAAATTAATTCCTCACGGTTCATGTTGGTCATATAAAAATAATAAACAGCTGATTTTAAAATGGACCAAACAAACCTTAAATGTATTTAGGTTATATGTCGGTCTAATTACTTACACGTAAATTGAGTGTTTTTCTATTATTGTATTACCTATTGCTGTCACTGATGTCAATCACAGTAACACATTCTGTAGAGGTTGTGGCAATTATTTCAAGCAATGACTAACACCATAAAGAATGTAATTATATACTGCATGTAAATTAATGGGGGCATACAGTATACACTGAAAAAGAGTAGGGAACAGCCTCCACAGTAGCTAAAAATACCACTGGTATTATATATTTCATTTTGCACTTATACAAACCTACATTGTGGATTTGTAATTATTCCATCTTTACATATGTTGTTTGTCACTGTTAAAAAAGGAAACAATTGCCTTATTACATTTAATGTAAGTTAAGCTAAATGGCTGCTGGTTATAGCTTCATGTTTATCATATAGGCATAAGACTGGGATCAAGATTCTCAAGCATACTGTAGTTTCAAAAATCTTGGGTTATTCTTTTCACTGCTAATGATATGCACATAGCTCTAAAATGTCAGACATATGACAAAATATAAAATGCTAATTAAAACAGATCATCTTACTGTTATTTCTATTAATTATTTAGATAAGGACATAAATTTATGTGGCTCAGTTAATCATTTTCGCTCACATAACAGAAGAGCAGGAAAGGTCAGCCTTATTCTAAGACATTGTTTTAACTGGCTGTACATGTTCTCTGAGTCTTAACAATGAATTTATATTCAGGAAATTCACAGCCACTCAAAACACTCTTAATGTTGTATTCAGATGAACAGTGAATATTGTCAGGCTTTCAAGCCGTCAAAACCACATTAATCTTTCAGTGTACTGTTGACTTTTGATAATGCTTTCAGGGTACATGGACCTTGAGACATACAGTGTGAATATTTGCCAGAACTATAATAAAAATTTCATAAGCAAGGTTTTCTTGTCACAACAAAAACCCTATCAGACCCTGATTTAGATCTTTCAAATGCCTACCACCGTTCCCCATGAACCCTTTTTGTGGATGTGCTTATACTATATCCCTTAATTCAAGATTCAAGATTCAAAGCGTTTATTGTCATATGTAAGGCTTGCTCATCAAAGCAGAAATAGTCCAAGGTTGTGTAACCGTAATGTAACCATGATAATAAACAATAACAACACTCTAGGCTGCAGACTGTACTCCCACTCAGTCTGGACTGAGCTTTTTTATTTCAGACATCCTTTATAACAGGACTCCATATTAAAACATTACCTAAAAAAACCTTATACTATATGAAAAGAATTACATTATAGTGAGAATCGGTCTGTGATAGCTGCACAGTGCGATATAGACACACAAATATAAAAAGCAAAAACCACTTACATTTGCTTGTATGATGACCAGGTACCGCGTGATCTCCTCATAGTTGAGTCTTTCTCTAAGAATGACGGAGCCAAACAGCGTCAAGGGGATGTCAAAGGTTCTGTTGGCTGTCTAAAACACACACGGATACATTACAAGTGAGTAATATTACAGGGTCAACTGTTAATTTTCTTACCTTTTCAGAGATTAGACAAGTTATGACAGGTCATAACAGTGAGAGGACTAGAGAAATTACAGCAGTAAAAGTGTAGTAGCCTGCTGAGATTATGATTTCACTATTATGTTCCGTTAAAACAAATACAGACGTTTCACAGCTAAAGGCAATGTATTTTCACGAGTTTGGTAGTATAGGAACAAAAAACAAGTCATAATAAGGAGGAGTCAGAAGGGATCAATTGTAAACAAAGCAAGCAGGTAAAACAGGCGTAAGTAGCAAGAGCTAAGACTGTCAGACATGAACTTGGTTCATAACATTTGTACATATATTTAAGGACTAAAAACCTCAGTGCTTTCACAATATAATGATGATCTGATCATACAATAAAGCTTCTTGGGGAAACACAAAATGAGAGATTAAAGATAATGTATTATATCTCCCATCACGATGCAGGTAAATGATACAATCTTCAGAAATAATCAGTCAATCTTTGAACAATATTGTATGCCTGGTTCATCTGTTCCTGGGGTCTGATATAGCTTATGTAAAAGGTGTCAGTCAGCTAAACTCTGACATGGGGAAAGTGGAATACTGTTCCAACAGGAATTTTACATTCAAATTTTCCAAACCTTCATATTTCAGTTTTTCTAGAGAGGGACTAAATAAGGGACTGATAAGATATAAAGTGGTTTTTGATTTCAAGACACGAGTTGGTTATCAACCTACTGTTTATTGGACTCACACAGCACTGAAGGGATACTGGGCCCAAATACTGCTATGGTGTCAATTTTAAACAATGAAATACATAAATATGTAAATTTGCATGTTTCCTTGTAGATTCTGTCCCATTTTGCTTGACATTTTTTCTCAGTTGTGATAAATTTATGAATCCAAATTCTGACTTTTTACCACAGCTATGGTGCTAAACCAATGGCCTACATAATGAGATGAACATCAGGTTTTGTTCAGGAGGCTTGTGGACAACCTACCGGGTCATTCGGGTTGTACTGGACGGTGTACTCTATCTGTCCGTTGGGACCGTCATCAATGTCTATTGCCCCGTTGTTCCCCGAGAAGCCAGAGAAGATAGTTGTTCCTACTGGCGTCAGCTAAAAACACAACAGAGACATGAAAATTTCGGCATCTGTCTACAAATTCAAATGCCAAACACGTAAAAGCTTTCATACTGTACTTTCTATCACAGATATTCAACCGCTCTAATTCTTCTTTTTGTTCATTTTTTATGCCTTGTCGTCTGCATCTACTGTCTGTATGTGGCAGAGAAGAGGGACGGACACATTAAAAAAACTCCATAAGGGCTCTTGGTACCCCACTGTCTCAACAAAACAAACAGAAAATGACTTGCAGTTTTATGTTTATTGTGCTCAAATGGGGCTTGAGAAGGAAGATCAGCTTGCTGCTTTTAGTGTGCTTTCATTTTTCACTGGAAATAAAATGAAACAAAGGCAGCGTGGTTTGTCCAACTTTCTTTCTATAGTCTGTCTCATACCTGGGGACTATTTGCTATTCCTCATTGCCCCAAGTAATAAAAGTCTGAGATAAAAGTGTAAAATTGGATGTTAGAAAATCATGCGTGTATGCAAAGGGTGCTTGTCACAAGACGTTATATCCAGAGGTGTCTCTATATTTTTACTCTCCCCAGCTACATACATGAGAAGGTCAGAATATTAGGAACACCTTTGAATATAATGTAGACCAGTCCAGCACCACCTTTAACTATGACCTCAATAATAGACATATAATTGAATTTATACATTTATGACAATTTCACCAAATACTGAAATATTTTGAGCTTCATAAACACAGATGTCAAGGCAGAAGTCTCTCCATCCATTATCTATACCACTTATTCATGAATAGGGTCAAAGGCGGGGGGGGCTGGAGCCAATCCCAGCTGACATTGGGCGAGGTACACCCTGGATGGGTCGCCAGTCTATCACAGGGCTGATGTGTAGACAAACCACAGACACACACACACACACACAGCCAGGGGAATTTTAGAGTCACCAGTCAACCTAAGCCGCATGTCTTTGTACAGTGAGAGGAAGCCCGAGTACCCGGAGAGAACCCACGCAGGCACAGGGAGAACATGCAAACTCCACAGGCATGCAAAAGCCCCAGGTCAGGCCGGGCTCGAACTGGGAACCTTCTTGCTTAAGGCAGAAGTGTTACACTGAATTGCATACAGGTGTACCTAATAAAGTGTCTGGTACTTTTGTACACTTGCAACAAGATCACTTTCAAATAGAGAAAGGAGAAGCTAGTTATTCAGAATTTTCAGTTAATATAAATTTTTTTCCTGAGGAAAACTCCCAGTAAGAGTTGAACACTTGCCACAGCTCATGACAGGAAGCCATGTGCCTTGGGATCTGTGATTAGGTGTCAAAACCAAAGTCTAATCTCCAGACAGCACAAGAAACCTGTGAGATTAAGTTCAATTTAGCAGCACCAATAACGTATTACATCATTCCCCACAACAGGGTTATCTCTGCCTCTCACTGATCAAACAATGGTCTTCTTATGCTGTCTCTTTGCCGCTTTTGGGTACAGCGCTAATGAAACAACTCCAGGCTCGGGCACTGGCACCAGCTCATGAAATCAGCCACAGGGATCACTTTCCACTTATAAGCTGTGTGCTAGATGTTCTTGTAAATAACCATATTGCCTCTCTGTGTGTCTTAATCTGTCTGACTCACTTTCTTGCACTCAATAAATGTTAGTAATAGACAAAGAGTATGTTTAATATAGATAAAGTTGGACAAACTCCTCAGTTGCTCTCTCAGTATTAAATTTACTGCATTAGGTGGTGGGAGTTAGTGAATTAGACAATAGCTGTCTGCCTATTAAGAATAAACTATAAACCAGAATAAATCTGCTTCTGCTTTGAAATTATTGCCCACATCATGATAAAAGGATTCACTATTTTTTTTGTTATTACCACCAAACAGACTATATTTACCTTGGCCTGGCAAAGGAATCATATTTTAGAGTTTTTTATGATGCATCTCCTAAATTGCATGGTGGTCGTTGAAGTGAATGGAGGGAACTGTTTTAGTCGGAGTAATGAGAAACTGGAGAGCTGTAAGAAGTGGCGGGGTGGAGGAGGAGGAAGCCAACCAGAGATATATAGAGTGTGGCAGAGGAAAGGTGGAGAGGTTGTGAAAAGGTGACATAATGAAGAGCAGGGAGTGGTGAAGGGGCATAGGATTGGGGGAGAGCTGCAGAAACAGAGGAGAGGCCAAGAGAGAAAAAGAGAGAGGTTGAAAAGACAGATTGAGTTAGACAGGCTGTGGAAGACTGTATAATGAGATATTCTACTGGGTTTGCCTAGGTCTGTGCTGACAGCAGGCTACATGTATCCTTGTCCAGTTTAAGTCTGCCCTCTTCAAGTTAAATTCTGCTTCCAGAGACTCTGCAGAACACACTAGGCGTGGGTTTGGCATCTTAAATCTATTCTGGAAGTCTCAAAACAACAGATTTAGATCCTTTCCTTGGCTGCCCATGAAATTTTTTTTCTACTTACAGTGGTGCTGTCTGACAGCAAAATGCCATGTACAGTACTATTTGGTGGAGATTTTTAAGTAAAAACACACAGCAGTATGCAGGCTAGGCTAGGCTACATTTTCTGAGTGCAGGTCACCACTGTGTCAATGCAGCCACTAACTGTGGCTTTGTTAGCGTCACACATTAGTCCCAGAGCAGTATGGGGAAAAGTCAGTCTAGTACAAATGATCTGCTGCCCTCATGCTGGGCTGGACTGTAGCTTTCTCCACTCTACAGTCTCTAGCCCGTGAGTCCTGTCCCTGCCATTGTGACAGACAGCAGCACTCCAGGGTAAGTGCAATTTAGCTGAAAGTATTTCTTAAGAATTCTTTCCGACTTCACTACATCTCTGTGAGGATTGTGTATGTATATACAGTATGTGTGACAGTGTTCACTCTGCATGTGTGAGTGTTTTACCTCATTGACAGCAACATAGTATCTTGGCTGCTGGAAACGTGGCACGTTGTCGTTGCGATCTCGAACAACGATGCGGACCTCGTGTAAAATCACCGTGCCTATCAACTCGTTAGTACACTGAACCTGAACTACAATGGAATGGATATTGGAGGGAGGCTGGGAAAGCAGAGTAACAGATAGAGATTATTAGGGAAAGCACAACACAAATAAAACACAACTCACTGCCAGGCTCATTCATTTGACTTTTTTTGCCAAATCAGACGTTCAAAAACACATCCTGGATTACTTTATAGAGCAAAACAACAGGAGCCTGGTTGTCTTTCAGAGAAGATGGAGCTAAAACTTTGAGCATTTATCCTTTGTCGCAAAGTGAAAAAAAAAAAAAGCCAAAAGAAAAACGCAAATACTGTCTTTGTCTGCTTTAACAACATTAAATTAAATGCGCAGTGGTAGTTCTTGTTCCATTCTGAGCTTGTGTGATCTTTTCACTAAATTTCTATTTGTCTCAGATTGAAGAGTCAAAACAAACAGAAGAAGATAGTATAAAAGATAAAAACTGAAAAGGACACTCAAAATGTGCACAGAATGAGCATAGACAAGACTAAAATTGAACAGTTCATTTGCCTTACATCTCTATCCAGAACACGCCCGGTACTGTTGAGGTAAAGGGCCTGTTTGGAAGGGTCCAGGAGCACCCAGTAGTCGTAGTTGTCCCTTAGAGACAGAGAGATGGTACGATTCTGACCCTGTGCCACGCCATTTATCTGCATGTTCTCCACTAACAGTGTTCCTGGGAACACAATAAAAAGACTTGTAACACTTGAATTAACCCCACAGAAAGCCCTCTTTTTTCATTTTCTAATACAGGCTGTAGCCAAGAGTCAAGGGAAATTAGATGAAGCAAACAGAAGAAGGGAGACAGAGTAAAAAGCATGTGAAATTCAGTAAAATTAAATTAAGCAAGTCAGACCAGATACATGGAATACTTAACTCCAACTGGAGTACAACATAAAGTCAACATTTCAGGGAGAGAGAGAGAGAGAGAGCTGGGCTTCTAAGATACAACGAATGTTCTAATGACCACAGTGTTTCATCTGCATGGTTTTCACAGAAAAAAAACAATACAAGTAAATGTTTTAATAAGACAGGCAGATGCAAGAAAACACAGCTGACTGTGGGTGAGCAAGCACTTTGGGAATGAGAGGAACATAGAAAGACAGACAGAGAGAGAGAGTCAGAGATACAAACAGGGAGATGAGATGATCTAAATTGAATCTGTCAGCCATATATTTTCAAGCGATGCATATTAACTCAATCGATACAAAACCAAGGGAGGTTGTAGCAGAAGAGGGCAAGGGGTCAATGAGGTTTCATAAGAAGAAAGCAAAGGTGGATTGATTATCAGACAGACAAGTGCGCTTCAAAGAAACATCCTCACTTTATTGGTGATTGATGGAGTCAATTAAAACCAAGCGCTTCTGCCAAAATTCACTGAGTATATCAAATATCTCAGTATTAAAAACTCACACAGTCTAGAGATGTGAAACGACATATTGCTGGGTTTCACAAATAAAGTGCCACTGTGGTGTTAGTGTTAAGTATTCTTATTTACACATAAATACTCATTTTGTTTAATCGGTTTCATAAACTAATTGTGATGAAAATGCATAGCCATTCCCTGTTGAGGGTCATTTTTAAGATTAATGGAAAATATAAGAAAACTGTGGAAAAAAAAACTATGTGAGGAAGAAATCAAAAATTTTAATTATTGACTGTGCTCCAAATCACAAGAAACATATTAGCAGGCGCTAGACACTGCATTATTAACCTAAAAACCACTGTATGTGTATGTGTGAGAGAACAGACATAATTATCTTTTTTAATTTGGCATCTGGCCTTTGACACATACTATAGCACACACATACAGTAGATCAGTACACCTGCATACTAATACACGCCCACAATAAATCAGTCTTGTGCTAGGGCATGTTTTGCACACACACACACCTCCCTGAGGTCATCACGTACAGGGTCCGTACACAGACTTACATTCATTTCCAGGAGCCTTTCCCTAACCTTAACTAGAAACACTACTTGCCCTAATACCTAACCAAAGCTGACACTTGCTCTAACCTTACACACCATCATTTTTGCAAAATTCGATTAATTAGTTGTGGGGCCCAGCCTCTGGGTCCCTGCATTTGACTTCTAGTCCCCACAAAGCAGTGTCCTCCCAGTGTTCTGTCCCCACAAGTATATATCGATAAAGCCACACACAGAACAATCTCATACTGTATCTGATCTGGCAGATATAAAATTGGGTCATGGCCTTCTGTGCTACCATGGAAACTTTGCCAAATGCCTTGCCGTGATTTGCTAATGTTAAATAAACGAGGAAATTGAATGAAATTGGTTTCTTTGTATGAGAAATGGGATAGAAGATGGAATTCATTAGGGGAGTTTCATTCCTTCCCATCTTACGGCTATGTGTCCTCTGCTCCTGTCTCACAAAATGTCTGGAAAAAACACAAGCACAGACGAGGAGGGACGAAACAGAGAGTGCCTACACCTTGTATGACTATGTAATTTAATTCCATAGAGCGTCTCATATCAATGAGCTCTTTTCACAGTGACCTCACCTTATAGGATGTGTGACTGAGCAGCACCAGATTAAATTGACCCATGTGTTAAAGCCTACAGGAAAAACTGCATAAAGCTGTGTGTGCAGCAACACAGAGAGTGGAAGGAAGGAATCCTGGAAAGGAACTACAAAGAGCAATTAGAGGGTAAGAAAAATGAGAAATATAGCAGAGGGGAGTGAACTGAGAACGACTGGACTGACTAACGTAATAGAAATAAAGAATAAAGAGAATATTGGTAGATAATAGGGAGAAATGAGTGCTGTGGCAGTGCATTAATAGAAGTTTTACAGGACATTAGTTTAGCTGTATGTGGCGACACTGGTGGGATGTCAGCCAGATAGGAGCCATGGACCGAGAAGTAATCTTCACATCTACAAGCAACTTCAGCTCTTAGATGATGGGGAAAGATGGATTCAAGGCAAATACACATGGAACACCCATCAAAATAGAAGTAATGTGCTTAGGCCTAGATAAACCCTGTATATCTGCAGTTTTTCTTGACAAAGAATATACAGAACAATTTTAAAGAAAAATGTTAGTTGTATTTAAGGCAACAATTTGCCTTTTGTTTCCATTCATTAATAATAATCCATTCATTCAATAATATACATTTTGACTCTGGCAGGGGTGGCACCAGGGCCCGCCACTCAGATTCTGGGGGTGGCCAGTGCCGCTGCACGCACACTGGTCTTTACTGGTCTTTCTTTACTGGTCCCAAGTCAGTCTGTGGGTGGCTTTATGTTCAGAATGCAGTTGTGAAATCTAAAGTAAAATTTCATGGACTTTTCATTGCTCTATTTCATGGAACAAAGGAGTGTGAATATTACTTTCCTTTGTTATCTACATTTATTATTACAGCAATAAACGTTGAAGTGTGGTTTTGTTGATTTGCAAGTGAAAAGACATCAAGCTGTCTGTTCAAATTTCATTGAAAGTTCAGTGTTTATTTCAATGACATTTCAAATGCTATATTTTCAACCTTTACCGGCTTTTACAAGATTTCTCTGTCATATTTCTTGGCAGATATGGCTAAAGCATAAAATCCTTTCATATATTAAAGCACCAGTTTACAAATAGTATGCCACTGCAGTAGCTTATTTGCTTCTGCCTTCAACATGGAGTCATCTGAGATTTTCTGATGTTTACATACATCACTGCATTTGGATACCACCCTTCAGTCATGCTGTATTTATTCTATATGATCTCTGCTTCACCACTCAAAACTACACATTTCTTGTCATTAGTTTCTCCAGAGAAAAAAAAGGAAGAGAAGTCAGCAAATGAAAGACAAAAACTAAATAAATGGCATATTCTGTCTTAGCCCTCGTCATTGACAACCTGTCCGGGTGATAGTCATCTTACAACACACCAGCATGGTAAATTTAGTCACTTAATTTTATCGGGTACAATCTATCAATGCAGCTTTGAATGCTGTGTTTGTACTGACTTTGGTGCAAAGTTCTCCAACAGCTGCAGCTGTTAGTTCTTCATATCAAATAAAGAACAGACCCTTCAAACTGAGAAATGTAAAAGGAAAATCAACCTATATCTGCGGCGACTGTCACTTAGAAGTTAAGTCAGTTTAATATCATTATGTTTATAACTTGTTTCTAATTTTAGTTATCTTAATTTAACTGAGTTAGTGTTACATTTTCAAAACTTAAATAAGTATAACCAAATCGGATAATGCATGTTCATTCTAAACACAATCATTTCACACAACCTGACAGTCATTTGCATATTTTTCTCAAGGTAATCTGTTTCCTTAACTGGTTAGAATTTAGTGCTGAATGAATAGCTTTGTTTAGTCAGTTTTTTTGAAAGGCCAAGGGCAATCGTTTTATTACATTACCTGAAAAGTTTAGTAAATGTAAAAAAAAAAAGAAAAAGAAAAAGAAAAAAGTTATTTTATTCTTGAGTTTGTGCTTTTGAGTCTGTGTAATTCAGTCTTAATGGCCAGATTTAGGATTTTATCTTTATTAATGCACAAAATATGATACTGATACATGTATTTTAGTAATAACCATAACCCTATTATGAACTGTAGCGATTAAAGCTATTTCAGCAGACCATGTATTGTAGATAATAACCGTTTTATTTGGCTTTGGGTCCTTTGTTTTTTCCCTACCTCTATGTCTGTCCACTCATACTAACACTTTTAATACCTATATTATTAAATTCACAACCCTATTTTCAGCATTATCTTATACCACGACATTTCCCTGAGCAAAAAAATTCCCCCTCTTTGTCCTGGAGTATCTCTCGCTCTCTCTCTTTTACTACAGTAACATGAACCCAAGATAATCACCCTAAAGCGAGACTCTCTATTAACTCTCTAATACTATTTCACAGCCGCAGAGAAATTTATGGCATTATGCATACAAACCATTCTAATAATAAAGTATTCTTCAACAGCCCTGTTAGAAAGATTACCGCTCAGACAGACACGAACACACACTTGTACATATTGTATTTACACAGTGAACACAGATGGGTCAATCGCGGGGCAAACGCCGCGTTGTAAGACAATAAGATGGAGACAAACATTCTGTATATGCATGCATATGGCTATGTGTACACAGACTGTAGCAGCTCTAATTCTTACTGTAAAATCATTCTGTTGCACAGCACTCCATTAAATAGACTAATACAGTTTTACAACAAAATCTATTTCTTTATGAACACAAATGGTCAAACTAGCATTTAGATTTTCTTTTTCCTGGAAATTTCAGGAGGTGGGTTCTCACTTTTCAAAATCCTATTTTTGTCCACTCACTTTTACAGTTTCAAGTGGATTTATTCACATACAGTAAATATCTGTAAATAATTTCTTATTATGGTAGAATGGAGGCGATAAACATGTCGATATGCTCATTGGGGTAGCTTTACATTGTGTGTGCTCACAGCAATACGCTCAACAGCAGCGCTGAGTGATTTGCTGGCTCAGTACTGCCCAGGGCGTCACCTCTCAGGCTACATACAGCCTATTGCCCAAATGTTTGACAAGCAGAGATTACACAGTTCCTGCAGCCTGACAATAGGACCTGCACACATTATATGCACATTCTTTAATTAAGAATGTTAAATGTTAAAAATGTTTCAGTTTGTTTCAAAGAGAAGGAGAGATGCAATATTACATGTAATTGATAAAGAATACAATGTGCATAAATGTGATTTAATTCAAACAAATATATACTGAAAATAAAAAACAACATTGGATAAAGAGGTATCTTACTCTCACTCACACACACACATTTGTTTGCAATCCTCCTGCAGCTTTACAGTGACTTGCATTTCCTGGAGATGTATTCTAGCCTTAACCTGCCCCTAACCCTATCCCCACCGTAACTTTAAACCAAGGTTTCACTCTGAAATTCAATGATTTACATGGCCAGGACCAGCGCCTGGTTGCTATGATGAAGGCCAAGTCCCCACAGAATGTGTGTGTGTAGACAGGTTTGTGAGTAATGCCACACACACACACACACACACAAATACATGCATACATACACATACACGTCCATAAGGATTACTGTGATCAGGTTGCACAATTTAAAACTTTGTAGAAAAGTAGACTATTTCTGAATAGTAATCTACAGGCTAGAGATAAGAGTGTGACAGCCACATAGACCAGCTTGTCTGTGTACATTTCACCTTCCCCCATATGAATTAGTGGCCTTCAGGCTGATATGAGCCTTAATTTACTTGTGACCAAAGTAGGGTTTATAATCATCTATTAAAATGGGATTCCTCTATGAATAACCTCCTCTGAACTTCAGAAAAATTATGTTCATATACACACACACGGGGCTGCACTAAAACACACTACACTCTGAGCAGACTTTGGGATTGTGTTTGTTTATATTCCTCTATAGTGTCTAAGCCATCAAACCAGGAGCCACTAATTAACTAAGAAGGCTTTAAATAATTTGAGCTAACTCTGGAAACAAACACATGCTAAAGATATTTTTTGTGTTGCCCATATAAAAGGTGTCTGAAATCCCTGACAGCCTTATATTTGGTTAGCCAGGTGGCAGGAGATGAGAGGAGAGAAAAAATTTTTCTCAAAAATTCAAGTAGGAGTTGTCATCTACCAAAATCCGGCATCAAATACTAATATTTTTGTCTAACTCAAGGATTTGACACATAACATCGAGGTTTGGGAAACCAAAATAGTTATTTGCAAAAAGAAAGAAATAAAGAAAGAAAGAAAGAGAGAAAGAAAGAAAGAAAGGAAGAAAGAACGAAGACAAATCACTGAGAAAAAAAATAAATAAATCAATAAAATCCAACCATCACACTCCAGGCCACAAAACACAGGCCACATTTGAATTCTTGCTACATATATGGCTTAGTTTGTCTCCATCAGAACAAGTTAGTTATTGCTGTGAATTAATATCATACTGTAGCAACAGTCTGGTAAATACACTTTCAGGTATTGTAATGAATCTTCACATGGGAGACCAATAAAATGATGCCATAGGGATGCAATCAGAATAAAATAATCTCATAAATAATCAGCCTCAAAAATGATTAAGTACACATTTGGAATTTCAATTAATAATTAGAAAAATATATAATTCTTACAGTATTCTCTTGCCACATATTTAATAGAGCTTTCATATTATCCACTTTATACTAAGTATAAAGGAGTAAAACAGCTGAATACTTTACCATTGGGACTCTCTTCATCTATGGCAACAATGGTAGCAGGAGGACCTGACCGAGACAGTTTACATTCTGGGTGAATGAAAAAGAAAAAAGAAACACTGTTACCCTCTGGTACCAATTCTTTATACCAGCATTAAAAAGTAAAATGCCCTTGTAAAGCATAGATAGTTACACCTGAGGGAAAAAGGTTTTAAATGGCATGTACTATCATGGTTTTTCCTTTGTCACTTTTTCAAATGTAATTAGACTCTACCAAGCACAGTACACATGATACAGTATGTCAGATGTGGAAAGAGT